ACTGGGTCAAAAGCCTTACTAAAATCAAGACATGTAGCATATCTACTGCTTCCCCCTAATCACCAGGCCAGTATGCCTGTCAAAGAAAGAAATTAGGTTGGTTTGGCATGATTTGTTCTTGACAATTCCATGCTGGCTATTGCTCATTACCCTATTATCCTCCACATACTGACATGTTCATTATTTAATACTCTCCCAGTATCTTTCCAGGTATTAAAGTTATGCTGATTTGTTTATAATTCCTGGGGTCCTCTTTGTTCTCCTTTTCAAAGAGAGGTGCTATGTTTGCCCATCTCAGGTCCTCTGGGACCTCACCTCCATGAGTTCTTAAAGACAATTACTGATCCGTCCAAGATTTCCAAAGATACATATCATCAGGCCATAATGTCTTGAATACATCGGACTTACCTAACCTCCTTTCCCCCTATTCCGGCTTGTGTTCCTTCCTCCCATGTTGTGAATACTGTGTTTAGTATCTGATCACCATTAACCATTTTCTCCTTCTCAAAATAGGACTTAAATACCTCCGCTTTCTCAGTGTCATTCATTATTAGCACTTCTTCCTCACAAGTAATGGACCTACATGAGCCATCATTTTTCTCTTGCTGGTAATGTATTCATGGAACCTCTTTGTATTGCCTTTTTCCTCCCTATTAATATTAACTCATTTTGTAACTTAGCCGTTCTGCTTTTGTGCTTGAACTACTCTTTTGTGCTCATGCTCAGTAATTTATCTTATGTTCTTATCCATGTTTTCACTTTTTGTAGGACTTCTTTTTGATTTTCAGGCCATTAAACAGTTCTTGAGGCCAGCACATTGGCCTCTTAGGGTCTGTCTATCTGGCAAGGAAAAACCTGTGGCTGGCCCATACCAGCTGAGTTCCTGGGGCTCAGGCTAAGGGACTGTTTAATTGAAGTGTAGCCCCTTAAGCAGAGCCCTCCCAGACAGACTCAGCTGACCTGGGCTAGCTGCAGGTGTCTAATTGCAGTGGAGACCTGCCCTCACTGCTCTTCCTTTCTTTCCTCTGCACCGGGATAGTTTTTCATTGTACTTTAAATATGGTCTCTGAGAAAATGCCAGTTCGCCTGAATCCCCCTCCCCCCTCCGATTTTCTTCCCATGGGACCTTGCCTACCAGTTTTCTGAGGCTGTTAAAGTCTGCCAGCATGAACACATCTAATTATCTAAGTAGATTCCTTCACCTGTTCTTTTATGTGCTTTCCTGAAAGAAAAGGGGTAATAGGAAAAGAAGTCCTACATAACCCAGTGGTGTTTCTAAGGGGCTAACTGCATAGGGTTATGGTGTCATCTTAGTCATCGGGCCATGGCTTTCTGTGATCAAAAAGGAAAAGGAATTGATCAATCTCAGACGGGAACTGCGTATTCTCACCATCATCATTGCAATCAAGGATAATACAGAACGACATGCAAGACGATACAATGCAATGCAATCTATGTGCAACATGTGTCAGTCTGGCAGCATTTTAAACGGGCAGTAGAGGCTAGATCAGCCTATTTACCAATTAATGTGATAATGTCACAGTAAGCAGGGGCTGAAATATCTTGCCGAGGGTTTAATGTCAAATTAAGTCGCTCATCAGCAGAGCACAGCAGAGTGTCGGTGGTTACGAAGATAAAACCTTTCCCCGAGCTGATTCATACATCCCGGATTGCTTTGCAACCCATTTACCGGAAAAAGTGAAAAGGCAGCGGCGGCACCGGGGGACGTTATAAAAGCAGGTTCTGGTGGCCTTTGGGGCTGGTGAGATGCCTCGCTACAGTTATGGCTTTTCTCCCTTCCCCCCTACATCCCGGATTGCTTTGCAACCCATTTACCGGAAAAAGTGAAAAGGCAGCGGCGGCACCGGGGGACGTTATAAAAGCAGGTTCTGGTGGCCTTTGGGGCTGGTGAGATGCCTCGCTACAGTTATGGCTTAGCTCCCTTCCCCCCTTAAGGCAGCGGGACCGCACTCCCCTAGGGGACCAGGCCCTGGCCGCAGGAAGCACCCGGAGGGAAGCCGTCTGCTGCAAAGCCGTCGGCTCCGGGACTCGCAGAGGCGGCGGGGGGCCAAGCGGCCCGTTGCCTGCG